TATATATATATATATATATATATATATATATATATATATATATATACGCTATATTTGATTCTATTTGTCCTACTGCTGTTCTCACGCTACAGAAGCTCACGTCGCGAGTCGTGACCGCCGATCCCAAGCCGTTCCGATTCGGAAAAGTAGAACTGTCAGATAAACGTGGCTTCCCCTTCATGCTCCCGAAGAACATTAATAAGACGATCAGCTGGAGATCGTCTTATTCAGTTTAGTTCAGTGTCCGTCAGCAGCGGGATAAAAGTCGCGGCTGCAAGTCGACAATAATGGGAAAACGTGACAGATCCATACAGGTAACGTGAGTAGTTTGGGTACTCTCCGCGAACGGCCATCGTTGGTAGGATACGAATCCTGTAAATGTTACCCCGCTGGGTCAACAGCTGAATTGACTGATCGATATCTATTAGTATTTTCGCTTCCCGAGAGCAGAGATACGCGAGCGCGATCGAGTTGTCACTGCGCATGTACGACTGTAAATACCGACTATACAAAAGTCAAACATATGATACAATAAAGTTATTATAAGGAGAAAAAGAATTAAGTCAAGGAACTAACCACAATATATTTTGTAAATCAACTGATTTCTTCTATTTACTAAGAAAGATTATTGGAATTAACATTTTCTTTTTCTAGCGACACACTTTATACTCTCGCCGTTTCTAACTCATACAGCTTCAACGAATTTTGCCCCTTATGTTTCAAAGCTAACTATTTTCAGAGCAGCAACACGATCTTACGTCGAGCAAGCTTACCTGAAGTAACATTCGTTTCGATTAATTTCGTGAAAATAATTCGATATTACTTGGTAGTAATATCTCTTGAGACGTGAAAAGGAAAACTCGCGTCTTTACTTATTAATCCGTTCATCCAGTCGCTCAAAGTCACGCCGCGTAACTGGAAATGCCGTCAAACGATATAACGCCCCAGCCCGACGTCAGAAACAACCTTAATTTAACATTCGATCGTACGGGCGATGACGCGTACGACTCGCGACACGAAGGGCGACAGCGCCATAGGCTAAGGGTAAAGGTTCAGCTTCGCGACATTAACCTCCGTCTAAGACGAATTTCTACGACCACCCATCTCGATTCACCACTACATTTATCTACAAATTTTCTCGTCGACACGTTAAACGCTGCACCGAATTTGACATAGCGCGACGTTATCTTTGCTTAATTTATTATCACGAAATATATCACATATCACGAAAATCACAAGCAAGATCAAGTTCTACACAATAAAGAAGTACATATCAAGAAATGAAGATTTCCACGATCTTCGTTGCGGAACATCCAGACAGAACTCTCTTCAGCTTCAGTGCTTTGTCCTTTTTTGTTGCTTTTTGCCTGACATCGGAAACTTCAGTCCCGATAGTACAGAGAGACACGAGGAGGAGCGACTCGCTAACAAATTCTCGTTAATACCTTTTCGTTTGTAGCTACACACGTTTGTACAACGCAAATAATCTTTTTGGCCAAATTGTGATACGTCCCGTGAGCGAAACAAAAGACTCTTACCTAAGCGATTATTGAAAACAGCTCTGGATACATAAACTTGTTACGCAACCTGGGTCAAACGATCTTCTCCATATTTGGTTAAACTATATCGACCGCCCTTCTGACAGCACAGAAAAAGGACAATAAGATACCTATGGACCTTCCCATCTACGTTTCGTACAGTAGACTCCGGTAGCGGAGTTCGATATTCGCCGTCATCGAATGCCAATCAACAATCGTGACCCCACGAGTCTAGTGAAGCAAAACGGAAAAATGAAAAATTGCGCGGTGGCAATGTCTCCTGGAAAACGAAATGTACTATACTCACGACTGAATCCGCGCTTACCGAAGCAGGGTCTCGCAATCTTACCTTGCATACCGACCCTGCGTGACCGACCGCTGCGTGATGACGATGAGGATGCGATTGAAAAACACTGCCGGCTGGCCTGCCGGCCAGGCAAGCAAGCAAGCAAGCAAGCAGGCAAGCAGGCAGGCAGGCAGGCAGGCAGGCAGGCAGGCAGGCAGGCAGGCAGGCAGGCGGATAGACAGGCAGGCAACCAGCTAGCTAGCCAGACAGCCAGCCAGCTAGCCAGCACGTTCGAGAACCCCTTTGGCTCGGAGAGGGCGGCGGGGAGCTCACAGTCGCTTCACAGGTGAGGCCGTATCGACCTGACGCCAGAAATACCGCGCAGCATCGACCGTCGTCGTTATACCTGGTCTCGCCCTCCTCCGCTCCTCTCCGTTGGCCTCACCTATCGCCCCCGGTCACCCGGAGGATGCGGAGGGTGCCGTGCACCCAGTCGATGGTGGAGGGTTTGGGGGCTGACGCACGGTCTCGCTACCACCAATCCCTGGATCCTGGCGGCTGCGGCTGCGCCCTATCCGCATCCTCCACGGTGAACCCGCGATCGCCGCCACCACCGCTGCCGACGCCACCACCGCCGCCGTCGCTGCCGCCGCCGCCGCCGCCACCGCCGCCGCCACCGCCGCCACCGCCGCCGCCACCGTCGCCGCCACCGCTGCCGCTACGACGGCAAGAGAGGGCGCCGTACGACCCGGTGGCGGGGAGGACTCTGAGGGCAGACGTTCCAAAGCCACCCCGACGGAGAGACACGCCGAGACGCCCCAGCCACTGGGAGCCCTTCGGTCTTAGTAAGTATCCTGGTCGATCTCGTTTCCTGTTCCCTTGTGCTCATATTTTTCCCTCGTTTGCTCTTGGCGCCCAGGTCTTCTTCGTTCCCAGGAACGAACGAACGGTGCGTTTATACGTTCAACTTCTGTGCGAGAACTCAGTCCTTCCGCTACACTTCCCAACTCGATGTACTAGAATAGGTGGTAACTTTCGATACGCGATCGCTGCATTCGGAACATACTTTCCAATACATTTCCTGCTCTTGTGGCTTTGCGTTCGTTCTATTCTCAAAGATTGTATTCATTGAGGCAACCTGAAACTCGCGACGAGCTCGAGAAGCATCGATCTAAGCAATCGTTGCGTCGCGTACTACTTCTTGTTGCGTCGCGTACATATAATTGCTCTCTTTCAGTAATTTCCCATTTATATCAAGATATTCATACGTAATATGTGATTCGACGAGGTGTTCCTCGACAGGTATCGACAAGATGCCGTGTTATAATGTCAATGCGCGCGCACAGCTACCACCTTTACAAAAGTCCGAAACATCTTCACGCTTCTCTGGCTCACATTCCTCCGAATGTGATATCCGAAAGAACACTTGGAAGAAATTATGAAACGAGATTCGGAGTGTTTTCGTGTTTAGTAGCTCCGAATGAATGTCGCGCCGCAAGCAACACTGAGAAAATTCTAGAGTTTCGGTTCGAATTTGTGATTAGGAGAGCGATGGAATAACAAGGGATATCGCTACCCCTCCTGCAAACAACAGCGCACGAAATAACACGTGGCTGTCAAATAACTATATCGCGATGCGGCGAGAGGGTAAAAATTACCTTGGGAAGTTACGCACGTGTGTAATGCCCGGTCTTCCTCAAATGCATGGTATAGCACTCGGATGTTATAGATAGACGCAGAAACGCTATATTTAACTTGCCCATTGGTAACGCGTACATAAGATAATAGAAATGTTAGTAAAAATTGTGTCGACTATACGAGAAGACATGAATATATAGAATGCAAACGTTGCACAATATACCCCACTCATACTAGCGCGCGCGATTGCGCAAATGAAAAATATGTTGATAAATTTCAACTCGAAGGTCAACGGACCCTCGCAAACGCGGACATTGTTTCTATGAAAGAAATGAATTACGTGCCCCCGCTTTACACTTGTTCACTCGCCACACTCTCGTTGATTCTTGAATTTTAGTTTAATGTTCTTTTTTTTTATATCGCGACCAGTAGGCGTTTGAGTCAAAGAGGTCAACTTCGATCGCGAAAGATAATGTCGGATACATTGACTTTGTCGGATTTGCAAATACGTAGCTTGCAGAATTTCATCGCAGTCTGTTACGCAGTTTGCGCGCGCGCAATGCAGAAAACTCTTTCCGTCCCTTCAGCCCCAGAAGGAACGAATCGATCGTTATTGTTCCCGAGTCTCCGTCGACTTTAACCGATTGGAAAATATCACGCTTTGTTGCAGATTCGGTTGTTTGAACTCGGCTGAAAAGGTGGAGGGCCCAGGGACGCGAGGAACCAAGGAGTCGGTGAACGACTCGAAGGACGAAGACGGATCGGACGTCACCTCGACTCTAAGCGGCCTGCTAGCCGGTCTTCCGACCTTGGTGGGCCCCCAACGCCTCGCCAATTCTCTCAGGCAAAAGTTCGCTAGCAACTCTGGTGAGTCGTCCAATTCTTCCCGTCGAGTACTTATTATACCTATTATTCGTTGACATTTTCCGCAAAGTAGTCAATCCCGTGTTGTATCGATCTCGAGTCGTGCCGTTAGCGAGAATCGCAATTACACAAACGCCCGAGGAGCTAACAATCGATGCAACAACTGTCGTTTCAAATAATCCGACAATTTTGATAGTGCATTTACTGCAGTTGTACTTTGTGAGAATTTTTGATAATTTAAATAATACTGGACTAAATAAACGATAGAGGCAAAGTTGCCCGATTCTAGAGGGAATTAAAATCAAGCTATAAACACTTTTCATTTAAGATTGCAGAACCGGCAGGTTACTGAAAAAGTTGGTAAATGCACTTGACAACTTTTTCTGCAATCTCGCGCGAGAATTCCTTTCGGCTACTCTGAACGTTTGAGCAAATCGTTTCACTGATACATGACGATGTTGATGAGAAACATAGGCGACACACTTTTGCAGCGTATGCTCCACGGCATAAAGCAGGTCTTAATCAACTGTAACTTGTTCCCAACAACAAGCGACACTGTTCGCTACGGATAGTTGCATAATTGTTTCAACAACCGACAACTCGGCGAACGACTCGGACCACTATAGTTCCGGAACATTTTCGCAACACTTACACTCGTAAAGTGATTAGCGACGACACCGCTAACAATACCTCGCACGCGTTTCGAACCGCGCCCCTTGTTTTCTCAGCATTTTGCCGTGCTGTTTTTATCCCGAGGTAATACGAGGCGCGATATACTAAGATGTAGAGTCGATTTCGTCTTATCGAGGGGGAGCCCCCATCCGGTATCATGTTCTCTTTGAATTGCGGAAAGAGAGACAAGAGACAGGGACACAGAGACATAGAGAGAGAGAGAGAGAGAGAGAGAGAGAGAGAGAGAGAGAGAGAGAAGAAAAGAGCGAGGGCGAGAATATTACTACGCATATTCTCTCGCAAGGTGAATCCTGCAAGAAGAAAGTGTACGCGATCGCGGTTGGGTGTCGATTCGCGCTGACCAGGCCGGGTCAGGGCTCCCCTGTTTTCCCCTGAACAGCTTTCCCAGTCCCGAGTCGCTTCTCCGTCGTCGCATTGCCACGTTGTTGACAAGCGTGGAGAAGCTACGCGGCGCGCGCGCGCGTGTATATCAATATTCCGCGAGCTAATCGTGCCAACTCGGTGATCTGTTGTAGGTTACCCCCGGCCCGGCCTGATGCGCGCCGCCCCAATCGCGACGATCTCTTGGTCACGCTCGCTCCCCAAAGTCGCACGAGAGGTGACCGCAGTTAGTTGCTCCCTCTAAACAAACCCGGAAGACGTCGGTCGACCCGCAAGCGACCAGCTAGACTCGAGCCGCCACCATGACGACGATACCGATACTCAACATGGAGTTTGGCGAACTCAAAGAGATCGTCTGGTCGAAGCTGCAGGAGCCAAAAGCGCAGCGTAAGCTAATCCTGATCATCGTGTCGGTGGCGCTGCTGCTGGACAACATGCTATACATGGTGATTGTGCCGATCATACCCGACTACCTTCAGTACGTAGGCGCTTTCGGGCCTATCGAGGATACGGAGAACACAACCGGACCACCCGCTCATCACGGGCAGGACTCGGCCACAGGAATGCTGTTCGCGTCGAAGGCGATCGTGCAGCTAATGGTGAATCCGTTTTCCGGCGCGCTCATCGACAAAATCGGTTACGATATTCCCATGATGATCGGACTGTGCATAATGTTCCTGTCGACCAGCGTGTTCGCGTGCGGCAAGAGCTACAGCGTGCTCTTTTTCGCCAGGAGCCTGCAAGGGGTCGGCTCCGCATTCGCCGACACCGCTGGCCTCGCCATGATCGCCGATCGCTTCACGGAGGAAGCGGAACGCTCCAAGGCCCTCGGTATCGCGCTGGCCTTCATCAGTTTCGGCTGCCTGGTGGCACCGCCGTTTGGCGGCGCCCTGTATCAGTTCGCCGGCAAGGAGGTGCCGTTCCTGATACTGGCGTTCGTCAGTCTGGCCGACGGTTTCATGCTGCTGCTGGTAATGAAGCCGATCAAGGAGCAATTGCGCGACAGGAACAGGGAGCAAAAGTCGACGATACCAATCTGGCGGCTACTCATGGATCCGTACATCGCCGTGTGCGCTGGCGCCTTGATGATGTCGAACGTCGCGCTGGCTTTCCTCGAGCCAACCATCTCGCTCTGGATGGAGGACACGATGACACACGACAACTGGAAGATCGGTATGGTGTGGCTGCCGGCTTTCTTTCCACACGTGATGGGCGTGATGATCACGGTGAAGATGGCCAAGCAGTATCCGCAGTACCAGTGGCTAATGGCGGCCTGTGGCCTCGCGCTCGAGGGCCTTTGCTGCTTCATCGTACCCTTCTGCAGTACATACAAGATGCTGATGATCCCGGTGTGCGGCATCTGCTTCGGCATCGCGCTCATTGACACTGCCCTGCTGCCGACGCTCGGTTACTTAGTGGACGTGAGATACGTGTCGGTTTACGGTAGCATTTACGCGATCGCCGACATATCGTACAGCCTGGCGTACGCGGTAGGGCCGATCATAGCTGGCGGCGTCGTCGAAGCGATCGGCTTCACCGCCCTTAACATCGGCATCGCTTTCTCCAACTTGCTGTATGCACCAGTGCTCTACTATCTCAGGCACATCTACGACTTCAAGCCGTTCCAGGACGAGGCAAACGTGCTGATGCAAGACCCGCCCGACAAAGAATACCAGACGTATGTTCTTCAGGAACAGCGACCGATCACCGGCGAGATCGGCAATCACTTGAATCAGACACGCATGGAGACGAATGTCGACCAAGGCTACGACCGAAACTACCAAGCGACACCGGGCTACGACCAAGCTGGCTACGGGATGCAAAGCGCGAATACGATCGGCTACAACCAGGTCGTTCACGAACAACCGCCAGTCTACAATCAGGCTACGGCCGGCTACGGCGGCCAACACGGCGGCGAGCAGTACGGTCAGCAGAGGAATTACGCGCTGGAGCAGCAGGAACAGAGGGGCGCGCAGGTTGATGTGAACCCCTTCAGAAGAGCGCCTGATGCGGATCAACGGCCGGCCGGGGACAGTAACCCTTTCAGGCAAGGAATGTACTAGATCGTGACGACTGCCGCGCGATGTCTCGTCTCGTCGTCTGTTACAACGTCGATTACAGCGGCCGACTTTGGCTCGAGAGTGACGCTGTGTTTGAAAAAATAAGAGTGAGAGAAAGAGAGAGAAGAGAGAGAGAGAGAGAGAGAGAGAGAGAGAGAGAGAGAGAGAGAGTCTTCGAGACAGGCTTCCACTTATCAGCGGAAAAACAAACGCGCTCGCTGAATCTCGGTCGTACTCCGAGTATCGTCGGTCTTAGTCGGGGATGAGAGGCAACGACTTCCAAACAGTCATTCCGCGAACGATGAATCATGACGGTCCCGGGGCCTCAAGATTCGAGCTTTTACCTGATGTTTCGCTGGCGTGATGGCGCAAATCGCAAACGCAACGCGAAGGAAGGAGAGGAGAGACAACGCATCGATTTGGCGCGTCATCACTTACGACAAAATATATGACATTGAGAGACTATATAAGACTGAAGTGGGGGTAAGTAAGACAAGTGTGTCGGTACGGCAGAAAGAGAGCGGCCCTTTTCGTCGGAAAGAGAAATTTCAAGGAGAATGAGTAATAGTCGCAACATCGAAATAAAATTAGAGTGAGAGGGAACGTACGCGTGTGTCGGTGTTACGGAAGAAGAGAAAGGATCTTTGCGTCTTTTATCGCGAAATATGCGCGATCTAGGACGCGAATCGTCATTGCACCGAATAAGAGAGAGGTTTTGCGAGCGAGGATGCTGAGCAAGTTGTTTTGAGTTCTTATGGCTTTTCTTGAAAATATCGTTCTATCGTTGGACGGAAGTGTCATATCGCTAATTTTAAGGCATCAGAGAGAAATCTAGGAAGTAAGACTTTTAAGTTAAGTAGGCAATTGTATAGGAAGTTGCGAGAATGTGCGGTCAAAACTCGACGGTTGAAGTTTGCTCCGCATTGGCAAAGTATTCGCTTCGATCTTTGAGCGAGACCTGTTATCCTGATGCTATAATTATCGAGAAATGTCATCTCGACACTACTTGAAAGATAACACTCAGACCTACCAGTTTTCAATTAACGAAATCTGCAATCTGTTGTATATTTTATCATCAATGATATTCTTTGTCATAGTTAATTACTATAAACGTTGGTGAAGCGAAATAAAACATCTACAAGATTCTTCAATCAAATGCGTCTCGATTTTTTAAATTGTCGACATTTACGTTTCATCCGCACATCTATATATATATATATATATATATATATATATATCATTTTTTTGGAGAATATACCAATAAAAATAATTATTCCGGTCGATACGAAATGAAGAAGATATCTCTTGCGATCTCGTCGTTAAAATCCCAAATGGATAAAAGACCAGAACGATTATCTGTTCTAACCACAGAGAAAGTTGATGACTTTTACGCAGCGTCAAATCATCCGTAATCCGTGTCGATCGGGTACTTTGCTGCGATAATAGAGCAATACGAGTACCAAGGCGCAAGCGCCCCGAAATAAACGTACATATGTATTTTTATGAGATTACTTTTCCAATTGAAAAGATCTCGTTGATTTCGTTTATCGTGGAAAATTGCGCGATTTACTTAGAAGTAGACATGTGTGACATATTTCTATTTATATATATATGTATATATATATATGTATGTATGTATGTGTATATATGTATATATATATATATATATATATATATATATATATATATATACACATTATATGTATATAATTATATACGAAATTTTTTTTATCGTGTATCACAGTGACTCGGCTGCAAGGTTACGCAGCGATTATCGCGACATACTTTTCGATCGTTTAATATATACAGATCGTTTGAGATATATAATAATAATAATATATCGAAACGGCACATATACGGTATATATAC